CATATAACATAGGCTTGCGCCATTTGCCCACTCTTCACTGCCCTCAGGAGAGCCCCGGTGAAGCCACCTCCGCCGCCTCCTCCGCCTCCTCCTCAGCTGACCCACGGAACTGCCTGCCACTTTGCTGGAGGGAGGTGGAACAAAGGGAGCCACAGACTGCGAGGAAAACTGCACCCCTGCTCCTCATTCTGGTGTGTCCCCAAGGCCTCTCTCTCTCAAAGGAAAAAGAGGGCTCGCTCATCAACCACCAGCGCCCACCAGCTAACCCTACCTCACCAGAAGGCATCCAAGTCACTCCCTCATCCTTCCCCCAATGCCCACCATCATTAAGAGATTTCAGATTTCTGCCTTGCTTCCAAAGCAGCCAATCGCCGCTCACCCATCAGGCCTTGCCACCAGCTGACTGAATGCAAGAGACAAAGGGAAGTGGGAAAGAGGATGGGGATACACCCATGACGATCACATGACCTGGGCTGACCGTGGTGGCCCAGCAGCACTGCAGCAGCCAAATTCCCCAAATTTCTATCCCACAGGAGTCACGTGTCCTGGATTTTGAACACATCCTATAAGTTAGCCCATGTGAGGTACCTTGGGTCAAAAATTGTTACCCTATGATGCACTATTTCACCCAGTTGAAGTTACAGACACGAGAGTTTTAGCAGTATATAGACTGATACAAACAATTCATGAAATATTCTGTTGGTTGCAGCCCTAGTTTGATGTATAACAGATAAATATTTTGTACAAAAACTGACTCGATGAAGCTATAAGGTCTGGCTGCTTCTGCAGCATCATAAGCACAATGCTAAGCGGAAAAAGCACTTAGCCAGGTAGGAAAAGAAAATGTTCAAGACAGCCTTTACTACACTGAGATTCAATCTAAGGAACAGCAGCCAGGACCCATACAGAGGTTGCTCACTCCATAGGGTACGAAATGCACAGCCCAACCATTAAAGTTTGAAGTGAAATGAAGCAAGTTCCATCTTTAAAGCCAATCTTCTTTGCAATGCACCTTTGGGCACAAAACTAATTTCATAATGGCCTCAGGTTTTATGGAACAGCTCGCACGTCACACATACAGAGTACAATCCTCAGCGGCTATGTGCACACCCACAGAATAGAAGGATGCAAAAACTGAAGTATAAATGGCACCGGACTCCAGTTAGCAGCCAATGAGAATTCATTTGGAACAGAAATAGCAACCTGATATATTTGGACTACAACTCCCACAATCCACTGCCAGTACTCATGCTGGCTAAGTTTACACCAAACCATGGCATCAGATCGTGTATTCCTTGAGGAACAGGCCCTTTGCTCCCAGACAGTTTTCACAGGAATAACTGTTGGTAACAGATTTTGGGGATTGCACGGTTTTTCCCAACAGAGCAACTTTGCAACTCCCCCTTGAGAATCTGCTTTGCGCAGCCCCACCACACAGAGGGCTATACCACCACCATTTTAGGCAACAATCTGTACTGAGTCCTCTTCAAGACCCAGTCTATCCACACCATTTCCAAGCCTCCTCTGCAGTCAGAGGCTAGCTCCCAATCTCTGTTCTGAAATGGAGGGCTACCGATTCCTTCTCTCCACTTTGCTCACCAGGGCAGTGGCCAGGCGAAGGATACCCAGTAAGGTGCGGGCTGAGGTGTAGGTGGTATCCTTGTTGGCCCGGGCCTCCTTCCGCATCTCCACGTAGGCTGCCGTGATATAATCTGCCAGGGATTCTGGCACAGCCGGTTGCTTTCGCTTGCACGTGGCCACATATCGCCTGTGGAGAGACCGAGGGAAAAGAACCTGATCGAGAGAATGCCAGGCAGGCAGGCAGGCAGGCAGGTCACTGTCACAGCCTCCCTTCCCAAGTCAACTGGCAGCAACAAAGCAAGTCTTCACCTACTCACCTCATCAGGCCCATGTCCAGCTGCTGGAACTGGCAAGGCGGCTGCCGGCTGTGCTGGTGTACGTAAGTGATGTGCTGGGCCAGACTGTGGAAAACACACCCCTTTTTAACAAACCAGAGGGACAGAGCTGGGGGAGGAGAGTCTCCTTCCCCCTGGAGAGGAGAGGGGCTGCCAGAGGGGCAAGCATCTCTCTTCTTTCTCTCACCGTAGGTCGTTGTCCCGGTCAGGCCTATCCTGGATCAACCAAAGCAAATCAAATCGAGAAAGTAGGGCTGCAGGCAGCTGGATATTCTGCTCCAAGCTGCGTTTGGGATTGTAACGTCCGTAGGCAGGGTTAGCAGCTGCCAAGATGGCACAGCGGGCATTCAGCGTGGTCAGGATGCCTGCCTTTGCAATGGAGAGGGTTTGCTGTTCCATCACTTCGTGGATAGCTGTGCGATCAGACTCCAGCATCTTATCAAACTCATCAATGCAGCACACACCCTGGTCAGCCAACACCAGGGCTCCACCTTCCAAGGTAAGCTCTCCAGTCAGTGGATCACGCAAAACAGCAGCTGTCAGCCCCACACCAGAGGACCCTCGACCTGTGGTATACTGACCTGCAGGAATGGGGCAGAAAGCTTTGTACAAGGAAACTGATACAAGAGCCCCGCTTAGGGAGTGAATCCCGACAAAGCCGATCATCTCAATTTCTCCCTCTCCTCTCCTCTCCGCCACCAATGCTGAGCGGAGGTGCTTTATTTTTATGCCCCTCAGGAATATCCAGAGGATCCTGGCTGACCACTCTCGGTATCTGGATACCGGATACACACACACACGTTTGATCCAGTAAGTCTTTCCGTAGTTTTCTTTAAGTCAGAGCCTCAACAAAATTTCCCCAGTCCCCAAGGCCAACCTATCTTCCTCCCTGACAGAAGCTAGACAGCTCTGATATCCATTTGTTCCTAGAGGATGGCCATCCAGCAGATGCACCAGCCAGCTGGTCAGCTCTGCAAACCCTGGCAATCAGCCAGCAGATCACGTCTCCTTATTACAAACTCACTGCGTGGTGCTAGCCGGGTGATGTAAGACAGCAACTGAGACTTGGCTACGCCAGGATCCCCCATGAGGCAAATGTTGATGTTCCCTAGGCAAAGCAGAGAAGTAGGGGCCTTGTTATTTGGACCAAGCCCTGAAAGCATCACAGGTTAAAAAGAAACTTTGGAGGAAGAACTGGGCTGACACCCATCTCCCCATCACTTTTTTGGAGCAATATTAACACTGGAGTCAAAGCTAAGGAACGTTGAGGATGGGAAAGCACAGGAAAGATGGGTGAGAACAGGATTAATTTTCTGCTTCTGCGAGCTGCTCCTAGCCACAGAACTTACCCCGGATCTTCATACCCCGTGGATTCTGGTCTACACCTCCCACCAGCAGCAGCAGCAGGGCCTTTTTCACATCCTCATGGCCATAGATCTCAGGGGCAATGGAGCCTGCCAGCTTATCATAGAAATCCTCCTCTGTAAGAAGCAGATGACAGTGTGTATGTGCACATGGCAGTGTGCAAGGCTGATACAGAAGGGAGATGGACAGCTTATTCCTCTTCTAGAGGATCAGCCTTGTAAACAATTCAGCAGGTGCTGAGCCAATGAGTGTCCAGCCTCCAACTGTGGGAAGGCAAACATCCCAGAAGCTCACAAAGGGGTTGTTAAATACAGCTTTCAGTCGTCAGCAGGGGCTCAAAACCTTCAGGGTGTTACTAAGGTTACTCTTCTTAGCCCTGCAATGACCCACTGCTACCCCTGCAAGGTTAACACACAGACCACAGGGCACTGAATGTGTGGCAGGTCCTTTGAGCAACTTTTAAAGTCCAGTTTTCACAATATGGCCAGACAACAGAAGAGTGCAGGAGACAAAATGCAGATGCTGACAAATGCAAAGATATGCTTCAATCATTGTTTCAATCAGAATCAAAAATAAAAATAAGATTCCCTCAGGCGCTAGGCAATGTACAGCTAGATGTTGGACTATGATGGCTAAGATAGATGTTAGACTACGAACAGGTAGACCCAGGTTCAAGTCCATTGTCAGCCACAGAAGCTATCAGGGTGACTTTGGGCCAGTCGTCTCTCTCAGCCCAACCAACCTCACAGGGTTGTTATTGTGGGGAAAAATTGTACAAGTGTGAGGTCCTGGAAGAAAAAAGAATATACAACTAACAAACAAGGAAATAAAATGTAATCAAATCGCTAGGCACAGTGTGAAGTATAAAACAAGTGATAGCCTTAAAACTCTTTCATTAGAAACCTTTTTCGGGGGGGGGAGGAAAAAAAGAATCCTACCTGTAATCTGCCGCAGTTCTTCTTCGGTGAGTTCTGCTTCCCCCAGCTCCTCCTGTTCGCTCTTGCTCATACAAATAATATGATGGGCCTCCAGGTACGTGTCTGAGAGAAGGCCCTGGGGCACAGCAAGTGATACGCTCAGCTCCAAGTCCGGCCCATATCCTGCCCCACCCCCAGTCCCAGCTGAATTCCTACCTGCAAGAGCTGCCGGAAGCCAGTCTGCCGCACAGGAAGAAAGATGCCAGTGACACTAACGTGATCACCTGGCTGTACGAGACGTGTGTTCTCGCCTTGCACACTGACACTGATGGAGCGTGGCAAGTTCCCCACTGGCACCTGGTCGCTCTGCAAGCAATAAAGGCAATCCCACACAAAACATAAGGCCTGCATCCCCAAACCACTTTTATTTTTTCCACGCTTAGTTTCACTTCCACTTTAGCAAATTCCAGGCTATTTGGGAGCACTAAAGAGGCCACCTGGCCTGGGGATCTGGTAATGCGGGTACGGAGCCCTGCAAAGCGGCTGTGTTGCTAGGAAAATTAAGGATGCTCTCCCGCAGATTGCCGGGGGGGGGGCAGTATGGTTTTTTGTTTTTAAGTTTTCTAATTTATTTTTGTTATATTTTTTATTACTTTGTTGTATTATTTTGCGTTTTTAACTTTGACGCCACTCAGAGTCACGTAAGTAAAATGAGCAGCTATATAAATTTACCAAATAATTTTATTTATGTATTGGTCCTTTGAGTCATTGTTGACTCCTGACAACTACCTGGACTAGTCCCTGCAGTTTTCTTGGCAAGATTTCAGAAATGGTTTGCCATTGCCTGCTTCTTAGGGGTGAGAGCATGTGACTGGCCTAAGGTCACCCAGCTGGCTTTGTGCCTAAAGCGATACTAGAACTCATAGCCTCCCGGTTTCCAGCACAGTGCCTTAATTGCTACACCAAACTGGTTCTAAATAAATAAATATATAAACTCCATTTTTCATTAAGCCCAAAGCCAGTGACAGTTTGTTTTTGGCTGATAAAAGATACCACTGATCTTTGGTCATGGCTGATTGAACAAAGCTAAAGGAATTACACATCTGAGGGCAGGAGGTAGATGTTTGCCAAGTAAGAAATCACTGTCCCTAATTATGGATCATATTGTCAAGTAGCAAAATTGGCACAGTGGTACCAGAACTGACACGATAGGATGAGCTGACCTATTCAAGCTTTCTGCTTCCCTTATAAAGCCCTGTCACACACCCCAGTATGGACACGCTTTCTGACTCATCAACCTACAACACTTAAACTTATTTAACTCCATTGTGATTCTGGGTCATGTAATACTAAAACAATTCAAAAGATACAAACAAAAGAACAGCAGCTACAGAACCCTGCCAATATTTAGGCAGAGCCATAAAGGGCCTGCCATTCCAACCTACAACCTGGGCGAGAAGGAAATTTTAAGGACTCTTTTAAACAAATCTCTGGGGGGATGTTGTTCCAGAGACCATCACTTAGGTGGAAAGACCATGTTTCTTGAATTCATTATGGAATAGCGGAAGTTCAAACTTCAATTACTTTTCAGATTCATTGCAAACTGCCCCCAATAACTTGGAGTTGGGTAGACATGTTCCTAATTCTGGCCCTAAAATCTCTTTACTCAGAGGTGCTGCCCCAAGCCCTGCAAACCATGCTGTGTATTTTAGAGGATCAATACTTCCCCTCAGAGAAGCAGTGCAACGTAGTGATTAAGGCACTGGACTAAGAACTGGGAAACCATTTCGTCCTCTCTTAGGCACAGAAGCCAGATGAGCGACTCAGACCAATCGCTTGTGGCCGGTCTTAATCAGCATAAGGCTCTGCAACAAGTTAGCTGATAAATACCACCCCCCCCCCCATTGCATCAGGCAGCAGTAGCTTTGCTACATGAACTGCAGCAAGCACAGTGCAAAACAAGAGAACTCTGCAGCGAAGCAAAAGACAAGCACTAGGAACAGCAATACCTCTCCTCAGCATTGGCTTCATCCCAGGTCGGTTACCTGCTCTATTGCGAGAAGTAAAGAAAGGCACAAATCCACAAAAGCCATTATCAGACCTCTCCCAAACTCACGTGCTCCTGTATTTTTAGCTCCTGATATTTGATGAACTTGGAGCCTCTGCTCTGCAGATAGAGGCGGCCGCCAGCTCGGTTGGTCTGGCATTCCCGGCTAGGGCACATCAGCAGAGGCATGAAGCTGGAGGACTGTATCTGGGAAGAAAGCGCAAAGAATAACAGGAAGGCCACACGGGCGAGGTAGCGGGCACCGCAGGGATCCCGCAGCACAGGCCACTCGCTCACCGGCTGGTAGGTCTCCGCACCGCACTGATCGCAGCTGTAGGTGGCCACCACCATACGAGGCTTCACCTCAGAGACGCGGGTGACGATGCCCCGGACGGTCACCAGCTTTCCGATGGCGTCAGCCTTCACCTCCCGGATCACCCGGGCCTTGGCGCTGGAGGGCGCTTTGAAGTACAGCTCGCTGCCGGGGCAAGGGCGAAAGTGAGTCCGGGCCGGGCCGGCTCGGCTCCCGGCTCTCGCCAGCTGCGAGGTCGGGCGGGCGGCCTTCCCG